GCTGCGCTTGACGAAGCGGCCGACGCGGCGAGGAGATCGGCGCGCAACCCTGACGTGGCGGCAAAGTCCCAGGCGGCCGCCGTGCCGTTGCGCCACCGCGGCAGGTAGACGTCGGCAGGGCGGCGGCCGTTGTCGTCCACCTGGGACCCGCCCTGCTCGCCCCCGGGGGTGGCCTCCCCGGCGGGGCGCGCGGGTAGCAGCCCCGGGCGCTCCAACTCCGCCCCGGCGTGGCCGGCGGCCAGGGCGTCGAAGAAGGCCTGGTTGCGCAGGGCGTTGTGGCGTTTGGTCCGGTCGCCGCGGCAGGCGCAGACCAGGGCGTGGTCGCAGAAAACGCCCATCACCTCGCCACAGGCTGGGCAGAAGCACTCCTCCTGCAGGAGCTGGACTCGCAGCCGCCTCTGCAGGCCGACCTGCATGAGGCCGTGCGGGAAGGCGGTGCCGGTGGCCTCGCAGGGCGGCGCCTGGAGCCACGCGGCCGCGCCTGGGGCTTGCACCAGAGAGAGGTGCGCCTTGCCGGCCAGGGTGGAGCCCGCCAGAAGTCCGTCGAGCGAGGCGCTGTCCACCGCGTCGGAGAGGGCCTTCTGGTTGCCGTGCTGCGCGTGGTCGAACACCACCCGGTCGGCGTCCCGCACGACTGCGTTGTGGGCCTGCACCGCAGCCGCCAGGCTACCTCCGTCGCGGTCGGGGTTGTTGGAGTAGCCGGGGTAGAGCTGCCGACAGAGGTCGGTGCTCTTCGCTCTGGAAGCGATGTAGGCGGCGGCGGCGTGCTTCGCGGCAGAGCGCAGGCCAAGTCCTCCCTTCCTGAGCTTAAGCTGAGCCTGCTGCCAAGAAGCGTCGGAGGGCGAGCAGCCGCTCAGTTGCTCAAGGCAGGCCCGGACAGCGTCGTCCATGGCCAGCAGGGAGGCGGCGTGCGCGGTGGGCGGCACCACGCGCGCGGAGTAGCCCAGCTTGCAGAAGGAGGCGCACTGGCGCAGGAGGTGCAGCGCGACCTGCGCGTTTTCGAGCTCCCCCAGAGCTTCCAGCAAGTCGGTGGCGCTCGCGACCCGCTGCTTGGTGTGCTCCGCGCAGAAGTCCGCGTCTCCCACTGGCGCGCCGAGCAGCTCGAAGCTGCGATCGGTGCGGAGGCGGAAGCCCGGCGGGAAGCCGTCCAGAGACACGTCGGAGGCGTCTCCGCCAGTGGGGACCACCTCACACTTGCCCGGGCCGGTGCTCAGCTGGAGGCCCACCGCGGCAAGGCTGGCCACGAGCAAGTGGAGGAGGCGCGCGACGGCCGGCGCGTCGCCCGCGAGGCAGCCGTCGTCCAAGTAGAAGAAACTCAGGTCGACGGCGCCGTCGGCGCCGTGGCGCGGCGCGCGAAGGGCGGCCTCGGCGGCGCGCTGTAGTGCTAGGGAGAACAGTAGGGGCCCCAGGGGGTCGCCCTGCTGCACCCCGCACTCGGAGCGGACTGTCTGTTTGCCCAGGAAGAGAGTTGACGGGCGGGAGTAGCACCAGTCGGCCCAGGGTGCCAGCCCGGGAAACTCTTCGTGGACCGCGCGGAGCAGAGCCTGCCTGTCCAGGGTGTTGAAGGCGTTGGACAAGTCCAGCTTCACAAACACCTTTCCCCGGTCCCCGAGGTGGCGGGTCCACCACTGGCGCGCGACGTGCACCGCCGCCTCGGTGCCGCCAGGGACCGCGACGCCGATCTGGAGGGGAGCCAGTCGGTCGCGCGCGGCGTCGGCAACCTCGTGGCAGAGGCACTTGCCGACGAGGCGCCGGAGCACCTCCCCGACGGCAACAGGGCGCAGGCCTCCGTCCTTCTTCGGCAGGGCCACGAGAGAGGCGCCCGCGAAGTACTCGGACACGGTCGGCGGGGCCTGCCCCCTGGCGCAGAGGTTGACAAGGTTCCGGAGCTGGTCGGTGACCTCGTCCCTGTGGGCCGCGTTGAGCAGTGCGTCTTTGAGGTGTTGGGGTCGGAGGCCCGTTGGCCCGGCGGCCGAGCCCCGGGGGAAGGCCCGCACCTCCCTACGGACCGCGCCCCCGTCCATCTGCAGAGCAACAGCCGCGTGGACAGCCGGAAGGCTGGCGGAATCCACGGCTTGGCGGCTGCGCGGGTGCTTCCGGCTCATCTGTTCAACGACGTCGGGGGTGACCTCCACGGGCGGCTCGCTGGTCAGAGCCGAGCAGCTCTTGGAGTACTGGGCGTCTGCGGCGAGCTGCACGCACCTCTCCGCTCGCTGGGAGGCTGGCGAGGCGTGCTTGGCAGCGCGAGCCTCGACTGCCTCGGCCCACAGGGAGGCCCGCTCCCCGTCCAGCCAGCGCCGGCACAGCGCCTTGGTCTGCGCTTCGCCGGCCGCCCTGCTGCCTCGGCCGCCACGGGTGTGAGGGCGCAGGACGCATTTCGGGAGCATCGCAAGCTCTGTCCACGCAGCCTCGGAGTTGTTGTGCACGGTCTGGGCCACCGTCTGCACTAAGCACCGTGCCCAGAGGTCCCGGGCGCCCTTCGGGACGTAGCGCTTGGTGGTGGAGCGCTTGGAGAAAGCTTCCCGGAGGGAGGGGAGACCCGCGGGCTCGCTGTGCGGTTGGCCGCCAGCGGCGGGAGCGGCGGCTGCCACGGCTGCGGCCGCGCGCGCGGCAGGGCGGCAACGCGGGCAGATGCCGCCGAAGCGCGTCGACAAGAACCGTTGGCAGACCGAGCATTGCTCCAACCGGTGCTCTTGCAGGTACTCGGGCGGGACTGGTGGCAGCCCAGGGAACCGCCCGGCGGCGTGCTCGTTCAGGTGCGGGCGCATGCTTTGGTGGCCCCCCCAGCCGGCGGAGGACGCGGCGTCGCCGCGCGGGCACCCAGGGACGGGGCAGTGCACCCGGACGCGGGCACGAACCCTGCGCTGGTGGGCAGGATCGGGCGCCGGGGGAGGGGGGGCTGGTATCTCTTGCCCGGCTGGCGGCGCTGCCTGTGGAGCCGCGGGCGGCGGGGCGCCCTCCCCAGGAGCGCTGGCCGGGGGGCGGTTGAGAGCCTCGGCCCGGCGCTGTTCCTCCAAAGGAATCCCCGCGTCCACATGCATGTCCCTGGCAGGGTCGAGATTCAACCCGCCGAGTCCCACGACCAGGAGCGGCTCATCCCCATCAGTCCGGTTGCGCCGGAGGTGTCGCCCAGGGGAGCGAACCGCTGGCCCCGCCTCGACAAACGTGTTGCTCACGTGGACCTCCTGCCTCGCTGGGCCCGCAGAGGCAGAGGAAGCCGCCGCGGCGCTCGGACGCTGAGGGCTGCGGGAACCGCCCCGCCGGCACGTGCACCGATTAGTCTCCCATTGGCACGTGGCGCAAATGCCATCCGAAGCGGGGAAAGCAGGCGTGGTGACCGCCCGAACGAGGAGGACCACCTGGCCGGCCCAAGCAGCGGGGCTCGTTGGGCAGAACCACGCTGGGCTGAGGGCCGCCGTGGAAGCCAGCGTCAAAGCCTCGCACAGGGGGCGTCGGACGTGGAAGTCGTGAGCGAGAGCCGTCGCACAGATCGCTGCCAAGCCCCGCTGCGCGGGTCCGCCGTGCACCATGGCCCCATAGACGACGACCTCGAGAGAAGCTGGGGACACGCAGGCGGAGGCGAGGAGCAACGCCGGTGCACGGGGACGGGAAGCGCCGCCCCGAGCGTGGAGCTCAGGACCTGCCCCGTCACAGCCCATAACATGACCGAAGGAGCCACGATTGGGAGAGCTGCGAGGAGCGCGGGGGCTCGTTGGAGGATACTGTGCACCCCACCGAGAGCGAGTGAGGCCCCATGCGAAAGGCAGCGCGCTGGCCATTGAGAGTCGGGAGATGGGAATCCACATGGGCACGCAGAAGTGCATGCCGCTCCCGACGCGCATGCGGCGCAAGAGCGGAGGTGCTGGTGAAAGTAAAGCTCGGCTGAACTAGTGTAGTGGCCTCGTGGGGGCTCTGGTGTAGCGCCCAGGAGCTGGTCCTCGCAGTCGTGGGAGCCGAGCCGGTGCTGGTGGTAGGAATCGCCGCATCGGCGGTGGTTGCCGCTGTAGTGTTCGTACTCGTGGCAGTCGTAGGCATGCTGGTTGCACAGGTGGTCGTGCTGGTTGCCCGTGTCGCTGGTGCTGGTCGTCTGAGCACGCTAAGACGGGACCCAAGTGTTCTGCCACACGCGTGTCCAGGGCACATCCATCCTGCAGGGCCTCAGAGACGCCCCAGAATGGCCCACGGTTGCCCCACATGGTTCCCAAAAGCCCACCCTTCCTGCCGCAATCCCCGGGAGCACCTTCACTCACCTCCAAGGCCCCCCCTCACCTTCTGAGTCCCTTCCCTTCCGCCTCCTGCAATTGATGTGACGTCCTCTGTACTCATCACCTGCTCGCCTAGGGGTCGGCGGACTGGCGCATACCTCTTGAACAGATGCGAGCAAGGAAACAAGGACACATACACACCGTTCGGCTACACGCATGAGCGGCCCTGGGCAACAGTGACCTGTAGTACGCAGCTTTAGTGGGTGGGTGGGGTGGGGGGTGGGGGGGGAGGCAAATCCAAGCGCACAAGCCAGTGCTGAAGGGCATCTGCGGGCCCGCGCCAAGTGTCACTCCTGAGTCACTCAGGCGCAGGGTCACTCTTACGTGTTGTCGAACTGTCACAGGCGCATAAGATCATGCAGCCACACCTTCACACAGCATACATTCATTGATGGCGATGCTCGAGTCGAGCATCCATCCATGACTCACATCATGAATCTCCTGCTCATTCGTAGAGTCGTGAGCAAGTAGGCACACACACACACACTAGTGCTTCCTGCGAGTCGATAGGGTTGCCGTCGGCGGCTCAAACACAACAATGGAAAAGAGACACGTGCATTTGGCCACCTTGTGTGGCCACGCGAACTAGGCCAGCGACATCGGCCGAGCCGACAGGATCGCCTGCTGGGAGGCAATGAATCGGGCGAGCGCGGCCCCGCCGCACCAGCGGCAGGCCGACGCACGCCTGCCGCGGCACGCCAGTGGGGGAGAGCGGCCCCGAGCGCGGGCGACAGCCTTGCACCTGCAGGAAGTCCAGAATCCGGTTGTAGGTCTTGGCGTTGTACTCCTCCAGGTGCAGGAGGAAGGTGTCCTGCGGGTTGTCCGCCTGGCGCGCGAGGCGGCGGCCGACGGGGGGGAGGAGGAGGAGGAGGAGGAGGAAGGGGAGGAGGAGGAGAGGAGGAGGAGGAGGGGGGAGGAGGAGGAGGAGGAGGAGGAGGAGAGGAGGAGGAGGAGGGGAGGGGAGGAGGAGGAGTGAGGAGGAGGAGGAGGAGGAGGAGGAGGAGGAGGAGGAGGAGGAGGAGGAGAGGAGGAGGAGGAGGAGGAGGAGGAGGAGGGAGGAGGAGGAGGAGGAGGAGGAGGGAGGAGGATGAGGAGGAGGTGGAGGAGGAGGAGGTAGGAGGAGGAGGAGGAGGATGAGAGGAGGAGGGAGGAGGAGGAGGAGGGAGGAGGAGGAGGAAAGGGAGGAGGAGGAGGATGAGGAGGAGGGGGATGGGAGGGGGGAGGGGGAGGAGGATGAGAGGAAGAGGGGAGGGGAGGGAGGAGGAGGAGGAGGAGGAGGAGGAGGAGGAGGGGGAGGGGGACGGGAACGGACGCGGGAGCGGTGGCAGACAGGGCGTCCAGCTGGCCAGCTCGAGCGAGCCAGCGGGCCCCGCCCGCTCCTGCCCTCGCCCCCCGCGGCACGAGAGCCAACTGGCGGCGCAGCTCGGCGCCGGGCCTGGCGCGCGCTCCCGCCCGCGCCCCGAGCGGAAGGCGCTCGCGAGCAGTCCCGCTGCGTCCCGCTCAGGACGAGCTGGAGAGGGGTGGGGAAGCGCGGGCCCGCTGCTCGGCCACCCGCCCACCCCGCCCATCCACGGGCCTGCCGGGGCCTGCCGGGCCTGCCGCGGACGTTCGCCGGGGCCGCGGCCCGGGGAGGCCTGGGCGGGCGGCCCTGGCTCTCGCGGCCCGTCGTGGTGGACGCTTGCCCGTCCGCCCACGACGCGACGACGCCGGGCGCGTGCCCGATGTCGACCAAGTGTCCGACCCTGGCTTCGCCCGAGAGTGGCCGCGGGGCGCTCGCGGGAGGAGCGCGCGGCACCGTCGCTGCCTGCGTCCTACGTCCCTCCGCCCTCCTCCCTCTGCCATCCTCCATCTTGCCACCGCCTCCGCCGCCCCCTGATGAGCGGAGGGAGGCGGAGTGCGGATGGGCGGAGGGAGGATGGAGGAGGAGCAGGAGGAGGAGAAGGAGGAGGAGGGAGGACGTGGGGAAGCAATAGCAGGATGAGCAAGAAGAGCAGCAGGAGGAGCGAGGGCGTCCTCCTCCTCCTCCTCCTTCCTCCTCCCTCCTCCTCCTCCTCCTCCTCTCCCCCTCTCCTCCTCCTCCTCCTCCTCCTCCTCCTCTCCTCCTCCTCTCCTCCTCCTGCCTCCCCCTCCCTCCTTCCTCCTCTCCTCCATCCTCCTCCTCCTCCCTCCTCCTCCTCCCCTCCTTCCTCCTCCCTCCTCCTCCCTCCTCCTCCTCTCCTCCTCCTCCTCCTCCTCCTTCCTCTCCTCCTCCCCTCCTTTTTGGGCAAGCTATTGGGCCTCGAGGACCCGAAGCGTCAAACCTCCTCCTCTTCCGCCTCCCCTCCTCCTCCGCCTCCTCCTCCTCCTCCTCCTCCTCCTCCTCTCCTCCTCATCATCATCATCATCATCATCATCATCATCATCATCATCATCTCATCATCATCATCATCATCATCATCATCATAATCATCATCATCATCATCATCATCATCATCATCATCATCATCATCGTCATCGTCATCGTCATCATCATCATCATCATCATCATCAATCATCATCATCATCATCATCATCATCATCATCATCATCATCCTCATCATCATCATCATCATCATCATCACATCATCATCATCATCATCATCATCATCATCATCATCATCGCCCCCTCGTCCGCCTCCTCCTCCGCCTCCTCCGCCTCCTCCTCCTCCTCCTCCTCCTCCTCCTCCTCCGCCTCCGCCTCCGCCTCCGCCTCCGCCTCCTCCTCCGCCTCACGCGACTACTATTCCAGTGCAAAGAGCCGCGCAGCAGACCGCGGGCGCGCTGCCTGGAAGAGCTCCAGCTCCTTGGTCCAATTCGACAGCTCCTCGAGGGGAATGTCCTGACCGGTCGAAACTTTGGCCCCCTCAGCCGAGGTTGAAAGAGCATGGATTGGACGACGCCAACCGTGTGGCAGACCAGCTCGATGGACGCTGCCGCGCGCTCCAGCACGCGCGGAATCGTGCATCGAACTGGTCTGACACACGTCTGGCGTGTCATCCAAACGAATGTCGAGCGGCAGGTGGCTCAAAGCTGCAAGGCAATGCTGGCCCACAATCCGAAGGGGCAAGATCAGCACACCAGGCAGACGGCCAAGTGCAGTAATAGCTGCGCAATGAAGGCGAAATGGACGCTTCTCGGTCTCCCCGTAGAACGGATCGGAAAACAGGCCCCAGCAACAAATATATTCCCATGGTCGTCAGATCGGGGGGCGGCACCGGTTTCTGAAACTGGCTCCGAACGACCAGCTGGTGGGGAAGAGAACCGCCATCTCAGAGTGGGACGGCCCTCTGAGAGCCCACATCATAGAAGGTCTGGCGAACACGATGTCTTAAAAGATCCACCACCTTCAAAAACATATCCTGGCCTTGTCAGAAGGCTGTCTCCTAGATCTGGCCCCTTTCGCGCACCGCCGATGTCCATCTGGAACTGGGACTGGTGCTGGGTGTGGAGGTTCTTCCGCGTGTTCAGGATGATCTTGGCCCCAGGGAAAACCTGCGCCACAGGCCAGGCAGAGTTGGAGCAGGACCTCATCCTCATCCCTTATCCCTCATCGCTCCTCTTAATCATTACAGCAAGTCTTACAGACATAAGCCCCATGAGCATCATCACCATCATCATCAGCATCATCATCATCAGAATCAGCACCATCATCAAAATCATCCTCATCATCACTATCATCAGCATAATCAGAATCAGCATCATCAGAAGCAGCAGCGTCAGCATCAGCATCAGCATCATCAGCATCAAAAGCATGCTCGTCCTCGCCATCATCAGCAACAGCATACTCACCATCAGCATCAGCAGAATCCTCATCATCACCATCATCAACAACAGCAGCATCATCGTCATCATCGACGTCGTCACCAACACCACCATCACCCTCATCCTCACTATCATCCTCATTATCCTCCACGTCAACATCACCCTCGTTGTCGTCATAATCATCGTCAACGTCGATATCGTCGTCGGCGGCATCAACATCAAGTAGCATCGGTAGAAGCATCATCATCACACGCATCATCGCCACCATCATCATCACATTCGTCACCATCGCACTGTTCTCATTATCAGCATGGTTTGTGTGCCTTCTCCCTCCTCCCTTCTGCCCGTCCTCCTTGCCCTCCTCATCCTCCTCCTCCTACTCCATCCCTTTTCTGGGACGGTTGAGGATTCTCAGACGGTTGTCAAATGAGGTATTCTCCTCAATGAGGCACCCTCCTCAGGAGGAACTTGGAGGGAGGGTAGATTGCAGCATCGTTGAAGCCTCTTGGGCTTGCACTGGTTCTCCGCCTCCTCCTCCTCCGCCTCCTTATCCTCCTTCCCTCCTCCTCTTGCCGCACCCCCCGCCGAGTTATATGCCCCCCACCCACCACCATCACCTCCATCCCTCCCCCTTGTTTTGCTCGTCTTCCGCAGAGGCACTCGCAGTCTGCGAACTGAACCTCCACACGCAACCCCACCAGCCCTCTGGGCGCAGGTGGTCTAACGATATTCGTCCCTCATCTTCCAAAACCCGTTTTCCATCCGGGGAGGGATAACCCTCCCCCTCCCCCTCCTTGAGATGTCTTAGGGGGCTCGCGATGTGGCAAGGGTTGGTTGTCGGCCGGTGGCTCCAAGAAGGTCCCCCGATGATCCAGGATGGTCCCCAAGATGGCTCAAGACAACCAGAGATAGCTTACGACATCCCTCCAAGAGGCCCCAAGAGGAACACAAGACGGCTCCAAATGCTCTCGCAGCCCCCACTAGGACGTCCCAAAGAGGCCAAACTCCTGCGAAAGCCTGGAGCAAAGCACGTATGTTTGCTTTCTCGCGGTGTCGCTTCCGACGCAGCTTAGATGCCTCAAGATGGCCCAAGATAGCCCCAAGAGAGGCCCCAGAGGCCCCCAAACCCCAAAGACCCCCAAGAGCGCACCAAGAGGGCCCCGCAAGGCCACAAGAGGCGATGTTGAGGACTCTTGAGGGGGGCCTGAATTAGGGAGCCCCCTTCTTTTGATCGACGCCTTCGACGATGACCCTAAGCGGCCTTCAGGGCTCCCAAGAGGCCCCCAAAAGGGCTTCAAGAGGGCCCCAAGACCGCCCAAAAAAGCTCCTAGACCCTCCAAAACAGCCGCAAGGGGGCCGCAAGAGAGCCTACAGAGGACCGTGAGAGAGCCTCCAAAGACCCCAGGACGGCTGCCAGAGTCGTCATCCTCCTTCCTCCTCCTCCTCCCTCCTCCCTCCTCCCTCCTCCCTCCTCCCTCCTCCCTCCTCCCTCCTCCCTCCGCCCCCTCCCTCCTCCCCCCCTCCCTCCCTCCCTCCTCCCTCCTCCCGCCTCCCTCCTCCTCCTCGCCTCCTCCTCCCGCCCCCGCCTCCCTCTTCCCTCTCCTCCCTCCTCCCTCCTCCCGCCTCCCTCCCTCCTCCCTCCTCCCTCCCTCCCTCCTCCCTCCCTCCCTCCCTCCCTCCCTCCCCTCCCTCCCTCTCCTCCTCCCTCCCTCCCTCCCGCTCCTCCCTCTCCCTCCTCCCCTCCTCCTCCCTCCTCCCTCCTCTCTCCTCCTCCTCTCCTCCTTCCTCCTCCTCCTCCTCCTCCTCCTCCTCCTCCTCCTCCTCCTCCTCCTCCTCCTCCTCCTCCTCCTCCTCCTCCTCCTCCTCCTCCACTCCGTCTCCGTCTCCGTCTCCGTCTCGTCTCCGTCTCCTCTTCCTCCTCCTCCCCTCCTCTCCTACTCCTCCTCCTCCTCCTCCTCCTCCTCCTCCTCCTCCTCCTCCTCCTCCTCCGCCTCCTCTGCCTCCTCCTCCTCGTCTTCGTTCTCTTCCTCATCGCCCTCCTCTCTCTCGTCCTACTCCTCCGTCTCGTCCTCCGTCCTCCATGCCTATTCCTTATAAACAACTCCTCCCTGTCGCACCTCGAGACGTGTCCGTAGGATGGGCCAGGCGTTTCGCCGGCGACTTCCTCACCACTCATGATCCAGAAGCTCGACAGCTGCAAGAGTTTCACGGATGGAGAGCGGCTCGTGCTCACGCATTCGTCTCGGAGGTTTGCAAGAGCTTGACAGATGGAGGGCGGCGTCTTGTCAAAATGTGGCTCGCGCCTCAACGCCGCGCTCATCCGTCTTAAGAGTTTAACACAGCTTCAAATATTCGTATGGCTGACGTCCAAGAAATGATGTTGTGGCACGGTATAGGGCTGCCAGGGCGCAACAGCCACGTTGATTTGCGGTGTTGAGTGCTGAAGTCCCAGAAACGGCGTTGTGGAGCGACTCAGGATCGTCAGGACGCAGCAGGCGTTGAAGTCCCAGGAGTTGTGTTGTGGCACTGTTCAGGATTTTGAGACGGTTGCTTTCCAACGGGGAACTTCCCTCAGTGAATATGAACCCTTGTTAAAATCCATGAAGAGGGAGATGGAAGGAGAGCCTGTTGCAGAATTGTTGACCGGTTTGGGTTTGCATTGGTCCTCGTCCTCCTCCTCGTCCTCCTCTTCCTCCTCCTCCTCCTCGTCCTCCTCCTCGTTTTCGTCCTCGTCCTGGGTCTGGACTAGGATGATCCAAAACTGTTTCCATTGCATGCTCCTAGACTGACCTGAACAAGGCAACTCGCCCGCACATCGTTTCTGGATGGGCTGGTGAGGATGCGCGAAGCGTCGAGAATTCGGAATCATGCAGACGGAACCAATTTGACAACAAATTCAAAAGACAACTCTTACGCCAATCAAGCCTCCATCCCTCCTCACCCCGCCCCGTTCCCTGCTAATCCGTCCGTCCTCATCACCACCGTCCAGCATCCCCTGCAGTCGCCATGGTGCGGAGTCTATCTTCGGATCTGGCCAGGCTCGCCCCGAAAGCTAACCCTGGCAATCCATAGCTCACCGTCGAAAATGATAAGCACTTCCTCCTCCTCCTGCTCCTCCTCCTCCTCGTCCTCCTCTGCATCCTCCTGCAGACGAAGAGAACACAGCTGACTGGGATCGCCTTGAAAACTATCCCTGAGAGCAAATCCCCTCTCAAAGACTGCGTGCCCTCGACGTGGCAGCCGCCGGGTGGCTTGGTGGGTTGTCCTGATGCAAGGCTGAAAAGACGCGCAGTGCGAATGGCCTTCTTGAAGAAGGAGAGCTGCTTCCGGTTGAGGTGCCTGATCTCTTTGAAGCCGATCACCTGCCATGCGAGGAGAGAGCAGATTGAAAGCACCTGCGACTCGATGGGGCCAGAGGTGAAAGCTGTCAGATGTCGTCCTCTTGATTGCCCTCTTCCTCACCTCATCTTACCCGTCCTCGTCCTCGTCCTCTCCTCTGCGTACCATATCTCGCCGCAAGTGGTACGATGCCGCTTGTTCTGCTGCTGATGTGCATCGTCGTTGCTTATTCGTTCTCGAAATCATCATCGCCGCGCCGCGGTTACCAATCATCATCACGACGGCCGCCTCAACCAAAATCCTCGTCATCGTACTCCCCATCCTCATCACCTTGACCACCACCTCCACGATCCTCGCCACCAGCACAACCATCACACTCGTCATCGCCATCCCTTCTCCCTTTTCCACCCTGCCTCTGTAGCAATCTTGGATCCAGGCCCATTCCGCGACAGGGCGTGAAGATCGGATGCAGCCTTCTGGCCGTGCGCGACCCCCTGGCGCAGAACCTCACGCGCGCGGCCTCCTGGCGCTCGTGGTGCCGTGGCGCCTTCTGGCTACTGGCAACCGCACCGTCCGCACAAACTTCGCCGAGGAGGAAGCACAACGCTCAAAAGAGGCCCAGGGACACACAAATAAATACACACAAATGAAAATATCCCCAACATTTTCCAATATTTTCTGGGTTTTTGTATTCCCCCCCACTTCCCATAGTTTCCCATATGTTCGTGGGAATCGACGATTAATTGTGTCTGTGTGTGTTTTTTCCCCCCTGAGCTCATGCCTGGCGATGAGCACTTGCCGTGGAGTGTATGATCACGAATGCGTGAACAATCATGAACCACCACCGTGCCTTCAGCACGTAATACATGGAGTCCCCCAAGGCTCATGTACGAGATAGGTCTAGGAACTGCAAGACACTTAAAACGGCCCCCGTCACCAATGTGGCGGCATTCCTGTGCGCTCTCGGCGACTGCCTCGTAGGCCGCGGGGAAGCCCGAATCGCCCAGACCGACTCCAACATCCCCCAAGAGCTTTCCAAGACACGCGCGAAAAGGCTTAGGAAGCCCCACGACTCACCGGGAGACACACAAGAAGCTCCTAGAGAGTCAAAGCTCCAAGAGAAGCCCCAGAGAACAACAGCAACAGCAACAGCAACAACGACAGCAACAGCAGCAACAACAATAACAACAACACCAACAGCAGCAGCAACAACAACATCAACATCCACAACAGCAATTTCCACAACAACAGCAACAACAACTGCAACAGCAACAGCAACAGCCACAACAACAACAACAACAACAACAACAATCATTTAAGACTGGGGACACTCCGTTCTCACCAGCGCCAGGGTTTTCATAGGAGGCGGGCAATACCCCCACTTTGTGGGGGGGCCGGTTCAAGCTCTACCAAGTTTCCAAACGACTCTTCGCCACCACCCACACCCAGCTTCCCGCCCTATGACGTTCGGACACTTCACTTCGTGGCATGCGGACGACCTTGGCTACTACACTGGCGCATGGGTACAGTGACTTGTTGTGGTAACATTTTGTGGAAGCTAGCTTAGTATACGACTTTTCCCCCTGTTCCAACACTGGACACCTGTACCGTTTTCCGACGTTTTTCCGTTTCTGTACCACACAAGCGAAGACACTTATTTTGAGTGGTACCACGTACGGATGGCGGATGGCAGAGCCGTGCTGCTCCTCCAGCTCCTTGGCGCTAGAAATACTGACCTTGCCAGGCACAACCCGATACTTGACCCACCAAACCTTGCACGCCTGGTGACTGACCTGGATACCCTTTGCAACGAGCGCCTGATGCAAATAAAACGGGTTGCCGCAGTCGGCCAAGGGAGGCCGCGACAGCTCTGGGCCATACTGCTCGTCAAAGGCCTTCGCCGACAAAGCCATGACCCATCCAAGAACACAGGCGATACCTTGATCCGAGATGGCTACGGATGTGACAGTGATCAGTGATTTTGTTCGATGACGTGGTGACACACTGACTTGTTGTGGTACCATGCCGACAACGACGACGCGACGACGCGCGCATGTGTCCCGCATTATATCTTTTGCAAGGGATTGTGGCCCCTGGCAGGCGCGCGAACGCCGTTGAAAGAGCTTGCGAAAACAGCTCGCGCGAGCTCTATAACATAAATGTTGAAAAACCATTGGTTTTTAAGGATTCGGACAGCGCGCGCGGGTAGAAATTTTGAAAATTCGTACAGATGGTTTTCGAGAACCTACGGTGCGATTCGTATGATTTTATGTTGCGCGGTGCTAAAATTCCTAAGAAACCCAATGATTTTTGAAGATTTCGGCGTGCGCGCGCGAAGTAAAAACGAATGTGTCCCACATGGTATTATTTGACAGGGATGATGGCCCTGGCAGGCGCGCAACCTTTGTTGCAGAAGTTCGAAGCACGTGAAAAAGTTGCTCGCAAGAGCCCGTTTGACAGAAATGTTGAAAAAGTATGGGGTTTCCTAAGAAATCCGCAAGAGCGCGCGGGGTGAATTTTTGAAACCCTTTTTTTGAAAAACCATTGGGTTTTTCATGTTTTTATGTGAAAATCGCTACGAAGACTAAGGTTTTGGAAGGATTTCGTCTTGCGCGCGCGAATGTGCACTTCGTGTTATTTTTTGCAAGGGATTCTTGAAGTTCGGTCATGTTAGAACAAGAAATGTCCACTTTGCCTTATTTGTTGCAAGGGAAAACCGATCGTAACAACACAACCGGATCTGGTATACCCCGTTTTGCCTGAGACTTCCTCACGAAAATGATGAAAATGTGGCTGCGGCCTAGGCGCGGCGGGGGGGGCGCGCACCAGGGGTCCCAACAATAATTATTCTTTAGAATTAATAATGTTCAACAACGACGACGACGACGACGACGACGACGACGACGACGACGACGACGACGACGACGACGACAACACACAGCTGACCCGCATGCGCAATGCTTCTACATGCAACATGCATCCATCATGATGCCACCCCCTCTTTGGGCCTAGTCCGCCTGGAGGTGGAAAAATCGAAAAGCGCTCCCCGAACACATATCTCAATACAGGACAATGTCTCCAGGGGCCTCCTGGGAGCGGAAGGGCCGACCTCATCAGCAAGTTCCCGAAACAGTACATCCCCGGCAGGATCTCAATACGGGGGTGTACCGTCGTCGCTGCTTCCACCACATGCATGTATCCGATACCAGAACCAATACACAGCAATATGATAGAATAGATAACCAGCCCCAAAAATTTTAGACAGAAATTGGCATGCTCAGTCGCATGTCCGCGCGCATGTTCCGTGTTTATGAATGCGGCCAGGCGTCGTGGTTAGAGGCTGAACACGTTTCCGTGCGGCATGTTCCCATGCTTGACCCGGCTCGAAGTATCCAGCTTTCATGTCAGAGAGAATACCGGCATGGTAGGTTGAAAGTACTCAGCATCGTGAAAAGTTGTTGAACCTCTCGTGTAGGCTCTTGTGTTTTAAGCATTTTGTTTCCGAGCTCATCTCAAATAGGTCCACGAAATCGCAGATGGAGTGCGTGCTCAAGGTTGGAAATCTCAACGGTCATTTAGACCGTGCCAAAGAAGTAGGATGGAAGGAAGAGCCAGCAACACGCAATTGCGGCCAGCTCCGCTACCAAGTCGGAAGTAACGTGGCAACGTCACGTAGGGTGTAAAGGGTGATTAGAAGGATGGCGATCCTTGTTCCTCTCACACAGAACGCCTGATGTTCCACAAGGGCCATCAGAGGCCCCCAATACCACCCCAAGAGAGCCCCAGAGCCCCCAAGACAGGCCCGAAAGGCACCCAAAAAGTTTTCCAAGAGAGACCCGAAAAATTGACTCGCACCGGCTCCAGGCCCCCCTTGGTGCGCAGCGAGGCCTGGCCCCAGCGTTTGCGACAGGACGTCTCACAATTGTCACAACAACAAAAAAAAGATGTCTGAATCCCCACCCTTCTCACAAATGCATCGTTCCTTGATTCCCGCACCTCTCACGGAGGGGGGAGGAGGGGGGACGGAGGATGATGAGGACTGAGGGGGGAGAGCTAGGTGCGCTTGCGTCATATCTGACGTCCTACAACTCCCTCCCATCCCTTACCATGGCGTAGATCTTCTCTCTATTCGCAGTCGGACGTCGAGCAGGGCAATGGTCCCAAGAGGGTGCGCGATGCACCGTAGAGCACGACATAGCAGGGCGTAGAAGAGCACGGCAGAGCGTAGTATGTCATAGCATGGCGTGGCGTTGGGCAGTGAAGAATTGCATCACAAAGAATTGCAACGCAAAGAATAGCATCGCACAGCGGCACAGAACATAACATGGCATATCATGGCGTTGAAGATCAAAGCGTAGCACGGCATAGCATGGCGTGGCGCTGCGTAGTCAAACACTGCAGATCCTAGCATTGCAGCGGAAGACATGGCATTGCACAGCGGAACACTACATTGCATTGCATTGCATGCCGTGGCATGGCACTGGAAATATTTGCGCCAGCGCTGCAGCGGAAGCACGATTCGGAACGAGCAGAAACGCGAAAATGAGGCCAGCGCTGCAACGGGAGCACGATTCGGAACGAACGGAGACGCGGAAATGAGGCCAGCACTGCAGCGGGAGCACGATTCGGAACGGGCGGGAGCCCGAAAATGAGGCCCGCGTTTCAGCGGGAACAAGATTTTGAAATAAAACCAAAGCGAAAACCCGACTCCTGGGAGTCCTGTAAAAAACAGTACGCGGAGGGGGGCCGAACATCTTGTGGACGTCATCAGGGGAGAAAGGAGAGTTGTACTCATATTGTGTAACTGTAGAAGAGGGCTGCTTCTTAGAAGGCGCCAGCCCTACATGTACACACAAGGCCCGCGCCTTCTCAGAAGCAGGGGTGCCGCTAAGACGCCTTCCCCCCTCCCACCACCCCCTCTGCGCGTTGCTGAAGTCTGGCCGAGTGCCTTGGTCGTCTGCTCGTCGAACTGGCCGATGAGCGTTTTCACAAACTTCTGAAGCGCGCACAGGGCGCGGTTCTTGGAGCCAGCCTGGGCTGCCGTCTCTGAATTCAGTTTCCCTGTGCTCCTCCTCTTCCTCCTCTTCCTCCTCCTCCTCCTCCTCCTCCTCCTCCTCCTCCTCCTCTGCCTCCTCCTCCTCCTCCTCCTCCTGCTCCTTTTCTTCCTCCTCTTTTTGACGGGGGGGCTCTTGGGGACGGGCCTCAGGACCACACATCACCTCGGCAAAACTGGTCAATCCTGCTCTCGCACGGGCGTTCCCGTGTACGGATTCTTACCGTCCAGGATTCGATCACGATAGAGCTTCCGCCAGGGATGGGCGACAATACCCTTCGTCAAAGGGCCCTCGCATTCCCGCAACAAAAAAACTTTTTTTTTTCTGGGCTCGGCAACCGGGCTTCCTCCTCCTCCTCCTCCTCCTCCTCTCCTCCCCTCCTCCTTCCCTCTTTCCTCCTCCCCCTCCCCCTCCTTCCTCTCCTCCTCCTCCTCCTCCTCCTCCTCCCTCCTCCTCCTCCTTCTCCTCCATCCCCGCCTCTCATCCTCCTCCTCCTTCCTCCTCCTCCTCCTCCTCATCCTCCTCCTCCTCCATACCTCCCAGTAGCCTTCCTCCTCCCCGTAGCCATTTTGGCTCAAGTTATCCGTTCCTGGCTCAGACCTGTTTCAGGTGCTGGGCTTGCAGCAGCAGGATTCAGAGCGGCAGTCGCTGCTGCGAGTCATCGTCCTTTGTGGCTATAGGTTTCAGGCCTTGCGCAGGCCCCAGTATACTCGCCCAGTCCCTGGGCTTCCATGGCAAATGGCGGAGGCGGAGCTGGAGAAGTTCTGGCTGGCCCCCGCTCTCCCACTTGGGCATGCGGCGCTTGCGGGAGGAACGCGAATTGGGCGTGCCGCATCGCATGTATATGTGGCGAGCGCGCACCAGCAGATGTGGTTCGTCGTGCTCGTGAGCGTACTGGCGGTGCTTCTGAGCGTGGGCCTCCTCGGCGCCGCGCACCAGCAGGAGCCGACCCTCTCCAGCAAAAGATCGACGCACTTCAGAAGAAGTACGATGCACTGGTGGCCAAGAGCAATGGGGTTACCCCGCCTGCGGCCGCCTCTTCCACGACTAACAAGGAGCAGTCCCCCGCAGACAAGCTCAAGGAGAAGATCAAGCAGCTGGAGAGCTCGCTGTCCGCGTGTAAGTCGCTGCCTGATGAAGTCGGTAAGGAAGCGTGTGAGTCTTTGGAGAAGCAGCTGGTGGACGCCCGCAAACATTTGGCGGCGACGAAGCCTGAGCTCACTCAGCATACTAACGTCGGACATCGGCTTTCTCGTGCGACGACACGCAAGAGCAAGCTTGAGCAGCAGGTTTCCGAGCAGCTGGAGATCATACGAGCAGCCGAAGAACGCACGGATACCCTTCGTGCGCAGATCAAGGCAGCAGAAGAGGAGATACTGTTGCTTAATCGTGAACTGGTCGACACGTTACCATTGGCGCCCAAGGTCAATCTGGAGGTCGATCCTAACGTCTTGGCACAGCATCCTCAAGCAGCAGTTCTCAAGACGTTCATGGAGTCAGAAACGTTCAAGATCTTCGCTGAGGTCCTGGGCGAGAGCATGAAGGCCCGTGAGCCTCCCAAGCCAGCGACAGCTGCCTCGCCTTTCACTGCCTCATCTGGGGGCGCGAGTCAGGCTCATGGCAGCGATGCTAGTGCTAGCGGGTCAGGTGATGGTCGTGACGGGTCCGACGCAGATGCAGGTGGAGTTGGAGTTCGCGTCCCCGATGACATGGAACTTGACGACCTCGACGACACTACCATCGACAGCATCCTCACCGCTGCTAGAGAGGAGGGCTTTGACAAGAGTACCTTTTCTGAGCGGTTTGGCGGTCAGCTACGCCGAGTCAAGCCGCGTGTTTAACCAGAGCCAGCCTCTTTGCTGCGGTCTTAGGCTTTCTAAATTCGGAGTTCCTGCTCCACCTCCGCCCCCCTCCATCCCTTCGACCTCGCAGTCCTCAGAGCTCGATGGCATGGGTATCTGCTTCGAAACGTACAATGGCAACTGTTGGTCTACGTTACGAGACCGTATGAGGAGATCGTCGGCTAGTATCCTACTGGCGCAGGAGGTGGGCTTCCTCCAGGAGCGAGAGGGTGAAAAAGCTAGCTCTGCGGGGGCCCTGCGATGGAAAACGCTTTCGTCCCCATCCCCCCCTGGGGAGGGCAACCGAACCAGGGCTGGGGTGGCGGTCTTCGTTCGCTCACACCTTGTCCTTAGATGGCCTGCGGATCGGAAGGGCATCTTGTATCCTGGTAGGCTGATTCACGTTGTCGTTGATTTGTCAGGATGGCCCCCTCTGCAAGTGGTGTGCGGATATCTCAAGAGTGGCACTGGAATGTGCAAGTTGAATATCCAGCTGCTTCGTCTCATGGGAGAACGTCTCCAGGGCGAACACATGTTTTTTGGTTGGTTGCGACTGGAATCTCGACCCCAGCTTAGTTGATTCTTCAGGTGTGTGTCGTCGTACGGGGGGAGCGCCGTTCGTTCCCAGCCAGAAAACCTGCCTCTCCCCGCAAAGTCTCTCTACGATTGATTACTTCTTGGTGAGTTCTGGCCTTGCGAAGGCCACCGACGGGGTCCAAGCGGACCTGGAGTGGACCCATAGACCCCACCGCCCCGTTGCTTTGAAACTCAAGGATGACGCTGTTCGATGTTATCAGTTGCAGTATCGAGCCCATCAGCGTCTTCCCACTAGTCTGCCCATAGGACCTGCGCCACAACCGCAGGACTGGCGCCTCGCTCGGGGGATCGCTGAGGCCGCAGCCGAGGCTGCTCTAGAGGCTCCTGTCGGTCAGGCGTGGGCTTTGCTCTCTGTTGCGCGGCAGCACTTCGCCAACACCTTCGAGCTTGAGCTCGAGAGCTACACTGGAGAGGTTGTGAGGAGTAAAGGTTTTCGAGGTGACTATCTGAAACCCAAATGGGCCCCGATGTTTGCCAAGCCCCGTGCTTTAGAAATGCGTTCGGTCTCTCGGGGATGGATTTGGCTGGCCCAGCACCTCTGCGAAACGGCGGGGGCCCCTGGGAGGCTCCAGCAGGCCTACATGAGGGCCGCCGAGGACCCCGATGGATTTGAGGACATCACGGCCCGTGATCAGATGCTTCAGGATGTTCAGCTCCAAATTCAGCAGCTTCTAGGTCTCCCTTGCCCAGGAGAAGGAGGCGACATTCGCCTTGAGTCGACCCTGCGGCAGGCGCGCAGCCTGGCAAGCAAGTTCCCCTCGTCAGGCCCTTTTGAATGGCTGGTGCGACGAGTGCCAGGAATTCTCACAGTCGTGGGAGGACGACCTCCTCTCGGCCAAGCAGGCCATTGTTAAGCAGCAGCAGACCAGCTGGGATCAATGGCAGGAGCAGGCTTTGGAAGGAGGGGCTAGAGGGATGCATCGCCTTACTAAGTTAAAAGCCAAGTGAAATCCCACCGTGGTCCAGACCTCTCCTGGAGTTTTCAGCAGTAGCCCCCAGCTCCTCCTTCGACGTGAA